CTCTGAAAAACTTACCTTCTAGCCAAAAGCCTCAGCCCACAAGGATTTATGCAAAATCAGTTACAACTCCCCCCAAAGTACACAAATCTAAGGTTTATTTCTTTTTTCCATGGCCTTTCCCCACTTCTCAGCACACTGTATTTTTTTAAATTTGGTATCTAATATACTAAGTAAATTAAAATTAAAATCTTAAATGAATGACATGAAGTAAGTTATCTAGTTTAGTGCAGGGCAGGGATGACACAGCAGATTGATCTCAAAGAAACCCAAGACACTGAGTCTCCCACCTCCTTAGTGGTTTTCAGTTGGGGTTTTTAAACTCCCCTCCCAACTTCCCAGGGGCAACGAGCAATGAATGGAAACATTTGGGTTGAGGCAACTAGGAGAGCGATGCTGGCACCTATTGGGTGGTGTCCAAGGGTGCCACTCAACACCTTCTTACAACTGGAGGATGATCCAGCCCAAAGCACGACAGTGCCGAGGCTGAGCAACTGAAGAATTGCGACTCTCAACTGTGCACTGTAGGAAGTGCCCCAGTACACCAAGCACAGCGCTACTGGAAGACACTCAAGAGCAAGACTACACATCAAACACATATTTAAAAAAATTATTGTTTCTCTTTAGGAAAATCATAAACTCTGATCCTCCTCCCTGATGTGGGCCTTAAAGGCCTTAACAACCAAACACCGGGGCAATATGGAGTCATTTCAAGGCTGTTGCCCTTTTCAGAAAAGGAGGCCAGGGGCTGGGCACGCTTTTATCTCGGGGAGATAAATGAACAGTCTGTCACAGGAGTATCTTGACAACAAACTTGTGACAGAGGGCTGCAGGGGAGGGGAGGCAGTGCATAAAGAAAAGAAAGCAGATATTAGGCAGTATAGGAGAATAAATCTGCTAAGCAAGTAGAAAATGCCATCAGAGAAATGGGCAAGGGCCTTGCAGGGCACTGCTTCAGATCCAAGTGAGAGCACGGGAGATAACAGGAAAAATACCAGGAGCCAAACACACTAGCACACATCCACACAACAGCATCATCTGGCAGGAAGAGCTTGCAGGCCCCCAGCCAAACACTTGACTGGCCATAGACCCCTGCAGATCTTCTAAGCCAAGACACCCACCTCCACCTTACATCCTCAGTGTGAGAATACTGGAGACCACCAGACTATTCTTTTGGATCTTTACCCATGCCATTCCTTCTGTCTGAAATGTCCCTAACCCTCACTCCTCCATGCCTGGGGGCATCTTGGAAGGTACCACTGACTTCCCGGTAAGATCTTGGCAGTTAACCACCCACTTGCTGCTTTGTGGACTGTCGTCATCCTCTCTCAGGAGTTTTGGACAATGTCTGGTGCAGAGTAGGCACAGAAAATGCATGTTGAGTGAATAATCTCCTTCGAAATGACCATTAGTGTCACTGCCACCTTGCTGCCACCATGCACTGAGTGCCCGCTACATCACTCCACCAGTTTTTAACCAAACCACGTACTCGCAAATGAGTGATGCTTGATACTGTATGACTCAGGTGGGTACCAAACATATTAGAAAAGTTCTTAAAAGGCAATCATTATACCAACATTTTAACAGAATCCAAAAGTTATCACTTATGCATGTTACATGTATGTAAGTATATGCATGTTACATGTATGTGAGTATGTTTGTGTTTGTGAAAGGGAGGGGGAGGGAAACAGAGTGGTTCCTTCATTGTGGTGAAAAGATTCAAACTGTCTTTCTAAGCCACATTTCTCCAGGATGTTAAATCAGGAAAAGTCAAGACAAAGATATGGCCATCAAATAGAGATTCCTTAATCTTCTGGCTACATTAAAAAAATACTCTAGCCAGGTGTGGTGTCACACGCCTTTAATCCCAACACTTGGGAGGCAGAGGCAGGCGGATCTCTGTAAGTTCAAGGCCAGCCTGGTCTACATAGTGAGTTCCAGGACAGCTGGGGCTGACTCAAAAAAAAAGACAAAAAAAAAATTCTAGCAGATAGGATACATGGAGTAAGTTTATGCGCATACACACATATAAAACTAGACAGATGTCGTGCTATTTTGTTAACAGGAGAAATAGCAACCTTTCTTCCTCTAGTTTGTGAAGCAAGCACCCATTATTTCCTGTAATCACACCCACAATCAAGAAAGCATCACTTGTAACAGAGTTCTTTGCTGATAGTGATGAAGAATTTATCCAAGAGACTAAAGCAAAAATGAATATAAATTTGGGCCTGCTACTCATTTTAATCCATTGACCTCCACACTGACCTTCCAGGACAGCAGGGAATTTACTCCTGAAAGCAAATGCCCACCACCTTCTACTGACTGCTAATAGGAACACTAAACTCAGAATGAACTCAGAATGAACAAGCCCTCCAGTTACTTCTATGTCGAATTGAAAACTGTGAGTGTGGAGGTTCCCCTTGTTGCTATTACTTGCATTTATGAAACTTGTTTTTCCTACAAGAGAAGAACCTACTAATGAACAAATGAATGAATGAATGAATGAGGCCAACCAAGGCAATAGCAGACTAAGCAACCTAAGTCATTAGCAGGCAAAATGAACATGAACAGACATATTGATGACCCTTAGTTTCCCATTTGAAAAAAGAATTGTTACATGAAACATGTATACACATATAATGGTATAAGAAATAAAAATAGGTACTTGACTGAATTGTAAGGTGTGTAAAAATAAATACCGGGAAAATGGTAGTTGCTCAATAATTGAGTATTGAATACCTGGCCCAAGAATCAGTCAGCTATTCTAAAGTTGTCAGTGCATAAAGGAGCTAAGACCTCTGAGGCCTGGAGCTAAGAATGTAGCTAGCTCAGTGGGAGAAGGTTTGCCTAGCATACATCATGCCTTAGGTTTCATGTGGGGTGGGGGGATGGGGATGATGACACCACCTCAAGAGGCTAAAACTAAAACGCAGGCAAAGGGACCTGTCTCAGTTGTGTCCTCTCTAATACGCTCCTACTGAACCAACTGGAGGCCCAGTTCATAGATCTTATGTTATTTAGTGAAACATGCATTGTTAAGGAAACCCTATTACCTCTTTGAACTTAAGATCTACTGAAAATTACTGCTCAAACTACTCAAAACCAACTCTCATGGTCACTGTGGAATAAGCAGTCCAGCCACTCACTTCATTTCTATACTACAGCCCTGTTGGTCAGTTACTGTGCCCTAGCACACCCCACATTTAAGGACCAGCACTTAAAGTCCCACCACCCTGCCTGCTCAAGCTACACAGCTTGACCCTTTCCTTTGGAGACCCTTGCAGGTAGTGGTGTGCCCCTGCTAGAACATCCTCTTCCCTCCTGTCTCTTCAATGCTCAACTGCCTCCTCACCTCCACAAAGGTTTTTCTCTTAATTTTCAAGTGTTAGCCTAAATTTGGTGCAAATGCACTTGATTCTAATTGTGAGAAGAACATGAAACTGCAATGTCTCCCATCACAGTGCCTAGCACAGTGCCAGGAATACTATAGATGCCCAGGTAGTGTGTTGCTAGGGGCATACTAGATTAGATGCTCAGTAAAATCCTTCTTTTAACTTCCAGTAAGAAGGAACCAAAGTGAGGCAAAGTATATGATGGATTCAATTCAACACACGTTTGTATTAATCAACCAAGAGACTTAAAGCAGGAATGTGTTTTGATCTTAACTATTTGGACTATCATTTTAATTGTCACTTTTCAATTAAATACACCACCACAAGTTGCAAAACACTGCAAGGTAAATTAACCAAATATTCTAGGTTAATTTCCAAGAGCATCCTGAAACTGGTGACCTAAGAAATGTCACATGTAACTTTGGTTTCCAAATTCTCTCCTGGGTACCTTACACTAGGTGTCTACGAGATATTTTGGTTTTAAACAACTGCCCAACTACTCCAAAGATGCCCAAAGCAGTGTTTGCTATGGCTAAAATGTTTTCAAACAATGAATTGGTATTTTCCAAAAAGAAAACTGAGAAACGACCAACAAAGAAAAAAAAAAGGAAAAGTAAAATTTAAAAGCCTATATAACAAAGAATATAAATGCTTCAACAGGGTGAGGGGGCATCTATTTTCAATTTGCAACTCCTTTTCTAAGACAGAGACTCCCCTAACACCCCCAAATTGAGGAACATAGATAAAAGGCTGGCAGAACCCCCTGAGAGAGATCCTGTGGCCCCTCCCATCAAACCCACGTTCTTAAAAACACATTTCTTTCTCGCTGCCTCCAAAACGCTGCCTTCCCCCCATAATAATTCCATCTAAAAAGCGCCCCCACCCGCGAGGAAACATTAATCTACTTTGCAAACATGCTTCCAGTATGTGCTTTACTATTTTTTTCAACTCCATCCCTCTTTGCCCCCCCCAACCCTCCCCGCTTTTTTGTACCTAGAGACAAATGTTTTTTTCCCCCAGAGTTGAAAGCTGTCCAAAAACAGGACCACACACGCGGCCGCCTCCGCAGGCCCGCGCAGAGCCCGCCCCCCCGCTGCACCGGGGGCGCGCACACTCCCAGCAGCCCGAGGGGTGGCCTGGCCCTCCACCCCCTCTCCCCTCTCCGCAGAGGCGGTGGGTGGGGTGGGGGTGGGAAGGAAGCCGAGTCCCAGAGCCCGACTGCAGAGGCTTTCCCCCGGGAGTGCGATTTCGGGGGCTCGATCTAGGCGGGCGGCGGTGCCCGCCATGGGGACCCCCTCCCGGGCCGTGCCTAATGGACTGTCCCGCAGAGGGGCCCCGCGCCCCCGCCGCCCGGCCTCGCCACTCTCTCCCACACCACCTAGCCAGGCGCAGCGCCCCGAGTAGATTACAGCGCGGCCTTTGTCGGGCGGGCCTGGCTGCAGGCCAGGCGTGCAAACAATAAACAATCGCCCCTGGAGCGGGCAGAGGGTTTCGCCAGCTACGGCGAGACTCTAGGTGTATGCTGGCAAATATCTTCATCAGACGCGGGGAAGGGAAAAGAAGGGCAGGGCCGGGCCGGGCGCGGCGCGGCGGCGGGCGCTGGTCGCTTACCTTCCACCCACAGCTCCTCCACGTTGGTCTCCAGATTAGCTGCCTTTAATCCCACAGCGAAGGCCCCAAAAATGAGCAGGCCCACAACCAAGAACTTGCCGCAGTTTTTTTGAATGTAACAACCCAGTTTAAATAAGAGTCTCTGAAACTTCGCTCGCAGCCACAGCGGCGCTTTCCGGCCAGTAGCCTTCCCCTGGGGACGAAGCAGAAGGGAGGAGTGAACGGCGGGGAGTCGCGGTCCGCGCGCCCACGCCCGCTCGCGCGCACCCTCCAGAGGATTCCCCGACAGCAGTGGGGGGCGTGGGCGGCCGCGACGCAGGGACTGGCCCTCGGGGCTGGAATCCCCGCCGGCCTGCGAGAGCACGAGCGGCGTGGGGGAGTGGGGGCAGGGAACCTCGGTTGTAAATCAGTCATGCTGCAGCGTGGGACCTGCGCCTTGGGGACCGCAGGGGAGTCCCCGTGGCCTGAGCAACGTCCGTGAGGGAGACTTGGGGAAAGGGGAAGCGGAGAACTACCGACGGTCGCAAGCACTACCGCAGACTTGGGGAGGGAAGGCCGGAGGATCCCAGTCAAGCCCCACACCTAACCCCCCCAGGCACCCCCTTCCCGTAAGTCCTGCTCCATCTAGCGCCCTCCCTCCGGCGAGGAAGGGGGCCGGGGACAAGGCCACTTTGGGAACAATCTACAGAGTGCAGCCATCGGGTCCCCAGCCTGGAGTGGTGGTAAGCGGGGCAATATCCACGTGGTGAGCGCGGCCGCCAGAGCCTTTCCAGAGCGCTGGGAGACGCCGTCTGAGCTGAATTGGGAAGTGCGGCAGCCATCTGCAACTTACGACAATATTTGTGTTCGGAAGAGGGCAGCCTCAAAGATCTTTCCCTCCTGTCCCATTCCCTCCTGGTTAAAAACCTAAAACACCAGCCGAGTGCACGGGAAGAGGCCCAGGCCGCGCCGGTGGGGGTCCTGGCCGTGCGCAGGCTGCTCTGGGCGGCGTGGCCCCGAAGCTGGCGGCGGCCCCGCGGGCCCCAGGCTGGGTACTCGCCTTCCCCAGATTCCACACATTTCAGCCAGCCTCGTAAACACAATGAACCCGGCAGCTCCGCAGACACGCACGGAAGATTTAAGGTGGCAATTTGTTTACAACTTTCCCTCTCGCCGTCAGGCAGTGAGAAGAAACGGCTCAGGACCTGGAAGCGAAGGGATGTCCTCTCTCAAGGATAATTTTTAAGGGAGCAGAGATTTCATGCTCAACAAAAGCAGAACCGGCTGCCAAAAAAGGAAACCACCTTTACTTTGGCTCCCTCCCCTCTGCCTCTCTCCGCCTCTCTCCACTCCGCCTCCCCCTCAAAGATGTTAAGAAATGTGGCACTATGGAGCTTTTAGGCTACAAACGGGGGCGGGGGAGCAGAAGCAGGAGCTCCGAGACAGGCAGAGTCGCAGTGCGGTCGCCCTCGAGGTGGTCCACTGAGGACAGTTTCCAAGACTCCGGAAAAGGCACACCAGGGAGGGCGTGTGTGCGCGCATGCACCACACACGCGCGCGCGCACACACACACGCACACGCGCACACACACACACACACACACACACACACACACACACCCTCACCCCCTGCGGACCTCAGCCAGCCCTTTCCTCCTAAGACCGGAGGGAGGATTAGAAATTTTCACTCTTCACTTGTCTGCTGCTTTTCCTGGAGAGGGAGAGATAGCGCGAGAGCGAGCGAGCGAGAGAGGGAGACAGGACGATCCCAAAGAGGAAGAGGAGGGAAGAGAAGAGTGGGAGGAGAAGTTTGAAATGCACCTTGGAAATCTGTTCCAGAGCGAAGGCGGCGTCGCAGTAGCTGGGCCGGTGCAGATAGTCCGGGTCTGGCGCGGCGCGGCGCGGTCCCCCGGTCCGTCTTCGCCTCCCGCCGCCCGCCTGCCGGCCCAGGGCCCCGATACAGCCGCCGCCGCGGTCCTGGGGCTCGCCGTTACCAGCCGAGGCCATGTTGCCGTCGCCGCCGCGGG